TTATATATCAAGCGTAAAGAATATTATTCGTGCTTGGCTTGTTTGCTTAGCAAATGAGTTGAACTACTTAACAAGTCAAATACGAGTTGTTCACGAACAAACTGTTTTGACACTCTAGCTATAGTGAACTCTGCTGTATATACATAAACGAAATTTTATTCTAACATTATTTGAACACTTTTTAAATTTATTTCGAACTATGTTTGAACTTAGTTTATGCATTATGTTCAATTAATATTTGAATTATATTCGAGAAAAATTATAATCTTATTCAAAATTTAAAGGAATTATAAAAAAAAATTCATGTTAACAATATGTTATTTGTTAATGCCTTAAGTCATTTAATTTTTCTCTTTTTTAAAATAACAAAAATTTGTGCATGTGTACAATACGTGTGCTTTAAATATGTTTTAAATGAAATTTATAAAATTAAAATGTTTGTAACCTTATTTAAAATTTGAAAGTATATTTGATAAATGTTAATGTTAAAAATGTGATAATTGTTGTTATTGCATGAAATCATGTAACTTTTTTACTTTTTTATGTTTTAAAATAACAAAAATTTGTTCATACGTGTATTGTGTGTGCCTTGAATATGTTTTATATGAATTTCTTAGAATTAAAATGCAACGAATATAAAATAATTTGAACAGTTATGTGACAATTATTATAAATAAAACAAACATTTTAAGACATTATATTTATCTTGAGTTTTTAAGATGATAATGAAGATATTAAAAAAAATTCGAAATTCAAAATTATTTCAAGTAATTGGATATTGGAAGTAACTAAATAAAGTCAAGTTTGAGTATAATATTAAAGTAATTTAGTTTATTTTATTTTATTTAATTTTTAATTTTCTTAGTAAATCTATATGCTTAAAGTCTCCAAATAGAAATATTAGATTTTATTTAATATAAAAATTAAATATTTGATGTGATAACAAATTATTATCAATATTATATTGCAAGTATTGATTTATTTGATTAATTTTGAACATGAGCCAATTTCAAACAAAATAAATTTCTAACCAGCTAAACACAGGTTAAGCCCAAATTTGCCCAAGCTCGACTCATTTATAACCCTAATGGACACAATTAAAACAATCATTTTTTTGAATTTTTCTTTGAAATTATAAAATATTTAAAGTAGAATATATTAAAATTATATTGTAAAATCAAATATATTAATACTTGCAGTATCATACTGACTAGATTTTGTTGTCACATCAAATGCTTAAGTTTTTATATAAGATAAAATTGAATGTTCCTAGTTGAAGAACTTAAGTAGATAAATTTACTAAGAAAAATAAGAAATTAAATAAAAAATTAAAATAAAATGAAACAAAATTATTTTAATGATTATGTTCATACATAATATTATTTAGTTACCTCTAACATCTCATTACTTCAAATATTTTTTAATTGTAATTTTTTTCTAGCTTTATTAACATTTTAAAATATTGATATAGATAGATACAATAGCTTAAAATGTTTGGCTTATTTATAATAATTGTCAAATAATAGTATATATTATTTTATATGTATAACATTTTAATTTCGTGAATTTCATTTAAAAGATATTCAAGACACAAATATTGTATGCATATACATAATTTATTTTTATTTTAAAAAAGAGATGAGTAAAAGGTTACATGTCTTTAAGTATTAACAACTATCACTTTTTTAACATGAATTTTATCTATATGATTCTTTTAAAATTTCAATAAGGTTATAAACATTCTAATCGTGTGGTTTTCTTTTAAAAATTATTCAAGGCATAAACATTAAACATTTGCGTAATTTTTGTTATTTTAAAAAAGAGTAAAAAAATTACATCATTTCAGGCATTAACAACAATTATCATTTTTTAACATTAAATTTCTCTTTTTTCTTTTAAATTTTGAATAGGATTACAATTTTCCTCGAATATAATTTAAACATTTTCTGAATATATTGCATCAACTATGTTCAAACATAGTTCGAAATAGCTTAAATAGTGTTCAAACAGGGTTAAAATAGGATTTGGTTTATGTAGATACAACAAAGTGCACTATAGCTAGGGCCGTCGGAACGACTCGTTCACAAACAACTCATGCTCAGCTTGTTAAGCAGTTTGTGTTCAACTCATAAATAGATTTCACTTTCCGTGTTAATCAATATGATTGTCGTGATTTTAATATAGAGACATTTAAATAAATACTATTGATTTTATTTATTTATTTATTTGTCTAATACCTAAACATCAATATTTACATTCACAACACTTCAATCTTTAACATCACATCAAAGTACTACTTTACTAACTTGTTAAAAGTCAAATGCGCCTTTTTATGCATTCGTTTATAGCACCAAGGGTCAAAAATGTAAATATCAAATTCTTGGTGTTATATATGCAAATCCATAAGAATTTTGTGGTATATCTGTAAACTTTTCTTTAATCTATTCCACAAGTACTGCATTCTGAACATTAAAATTTTTAATAATGATAGTCGTGCAATACTTGTTGTAGGTTTTCAACAATAGTCGTGAGGAGACTGCATATTTCCATTTGTTGTATGCTCATAATTACATTTTACAGTGCATTCTGAACATTAAAATTTTTAATAATGATAGTCCTGCAATACTTGTTGTAGGTTTTCAACAATAGTCCTGAGGAGACTGCATATTTCCATTTGTTGTAAGCTCATAATTACATTTTACAGTTTTACCAATATTATTGCAATATTTGTTGTAGGTTTTCAACAATAGTTCTGACGAGACTGCATATTTCCGCATATTGCTGAGTAGAGAAAGCATCACAAACTCTGTTATGATTCAACCCTCATTGATTTCATACTCTTTTAATGCTCATTCTCCCCCTTTATTGGATGTAGCATCCATAGCTGCAGGCCGCATTCTGGTGCTAGATGCATATTTCAGTGTGGTCATTTTACACGGCAGGAAAATTGCCCAGTGGCGCAACATAGGCTACCAAAATCAGCCAGAGCATCAGGTACTTGGTTTCCAGTTTCAATTAAATATCCTTGTAAAGAATCGGATGACCATTTCTCCACTTTTCTCCATAAAATAGTGTTAATTCTATGCTTGCATATTTTTATTGTTTTTGTCTTGAAATATCTTCATACATGCCACTAAATTAGTTTCCAAAAAAAAAAAAAAGAGTCAAGGCATCAACATATGTAAGCCATGATGCTGATCATGTTCATCATCCGGTTTAATCGTCAGGCACAGTGCAGCACAAAGTACCCTCTGAAGCGGGTACCTACCCTCCAAACGTCTAAATACAAGATTATACTGAAAACATATTAAAATGGAGCGCAAGGCAGGATTTTTGTAGCACTGAAGTTAAGTTTTGAATGCCAGATTCTTTAAAAAATGCTGTAGCCTTACAACTACGAGCTTGGATTAGATTTTTCGCAGAAGAGTGCTACACTAGAGGGTTGGCATGCAAAGAGAAAGTTATAATTAGAAAACTCATAAGTAGCACCATCTAAATCAAGAATTATTCTATTCAAACAAAAGGAAGATTTAATTACATACTACACAATTCTCATGAATTTACATTTCTAACACCTATACTTCAATTTTTTACATATATGCCACCTTATTTGTGTAGGAAAGGTATATTTCACATTTTAAAAATTAAAATAGTGATATTTTTGATGTGATCTTATTATGAGTGGTATAAATGTAAAAAAGAATTTAGTGTTAGATATATAAATAGATAATAATTGGGTGGTTTGCTTGTAAAATAGTGTTTTTGTTATTTTTGTTTTTATCGTGAAAGATTGCTATCTTGTGTTGAAGTCCTATATTTATTTATTTATTTGGTATTTTTATATTTTCTTTCTCCCAATTGGATTTCTATTGTAGGTATCTGTACTGTTATATAAGGATTTCACATCCTTTCTTCTTACAGGCGTTTGCATAGCTTTTGCAAGCCCCACATGATGACGTCCAAATGCTAATCAGATAGAGATTCCCAGTCCCATGATTGGTTGTTTGCGATCAGCATGGCTCCTAGGTATCACTATTTCTTAATATTTTATTCAACATCACAGTTTCTTTGTGCTCGAATGCTCTTATCATGCGTATATTTTTTTTTTGTAATTTTATTCTTGTAAGGGGATATTTACATACAAATCACTCAATTATCATGTGTTTTAATATCTAAATGTTGGATTTAGTGTAAACCTATTTGGTATGCACGTAAATCTCTTTAATAAGCTGCTGATAAGTAACTGATTCGGTTAGCTGCTTATCAGCAGTTGATCCAAATAAGCTGGTTGGTTATTTAGTTTGTGTTGTTGGAAAAAAAATTGTTTTGCAGCTGATTCTGGATAAATGACCATTTTGCCTGTATGCAGTAATATTATTTACAACACAGCTTGATCCAAATAAGCTGGTTGGTTATTTAGTTTGTGCTGTTGGAAAAAAAATTCTTTTGCAGCTGATTCTGGATAAATGACCATTTTGCTTGTATGCAGTAATATTATTTACAACACAGATATTATAGCTATGTATTTTATACTTGAGAAACAAAAATCACTTCATATCAGTAGAAAAAAACGATACACTTCATTTAACAATGAGTATCAAGATTGTTAGAAAAAAGAAAAATCTATTAAAATTATTTTAATGTATTTTTCACTTGTGGTTTTTAAATCATTGGGGATAATGTAAAGTTTAAGTGTAGGAGTGGCTAAGAGTTGCATTTGTTGTATTTATTTTATTTTCAACTTATTTCCTGATAGTTTTTTATATTCCTCCATTTTTCTTTTAATTTCTACTTAGGTAATTACTCTAGCCATATGATCAGGAAGAAAATCCATTTGATTCAATGACTTGCACACGGAGAAATGCTGAGGAAGGTGCTGTTGGGGCGAAAATAAATGGTGAGCTGATTTTTAAAAAATAGGTCGTTACATAACATAACACTTGTCAAGTTTCTATTTGTTAAAGGCAGAAATAATAAACAAAATGTCATTATATGTATTGCAGAAAAAATTATTATAACACTTCTCTGTATTTTATCTTATTCTTCAACCCCTCCCTTGGAGGGGAAAACAACCTCAAATCTATATGGTTTTTGTGTCTACCCTTTGTTTTCTCTATTTTCATCCAAGAGTAGAGCTTAATAAAAGATTTTTCAATTAGCACTCTATGGTGAAGATGTCTTGATGATTAATTATAGAGACACCAAAGTAGGTCTTTAATATCTAATTTAGCCAAAAAGTCTTAATTTATAGTTGTAGGTTCAAAGCTAATACTCCTACTACTGCAACATGTAGGTTCGAAGCTAATATTCCTATTACTGCAACTAAAATGTTCTATTAGGCAACTATGTTAGAAAAAAACTAAGAGAAATCAAATTTCCTGTTGAAAAATAAAATTGAAGGGCTGCATAATAAAAATCTCAAACATGTGAAGGTGCAAAATCGTGTTGATAATAGGCTTTATGTTCTGTGTTGAACTACGATAATGTAGTTTGAAACATACAAATAAGCAATATAATCATACATGGTTAGGTTTAAAATTTGAAGAGCTTAGAACTTAAATGCTCAAAGCCAAACATTCAATCATGCAAAGAGATGCATCGTAATAACTTCTATGGTAAAAAAAAAAGAAAAAATTAAAATGAGTTGAACAAAACATCAATGTATTTTTTATGTAAGTTTCAAATTACCTACATGAGTACATCTCCAGGAGCCAAAGTGATGCAAACCTACATAAGTTCCTTTCACAGCTCCATTATTGTACACTAAAATAGTTGGAAGAATATGGTCAGGATATCTTGGAATCCAGTATGTAGAGACAATCTTAACAAACTTTATCCCTGAGTATCTAAGCATTGTAGAAGTAACTCACATCGTGGGATGCTGCCCCGCCATTCAAAACAATCCAATGATGATCAAGCTTGAAGTAATAAAACTAGAAGCAAAATTCTTTCTGCATAACTTCTAGCCAGTGTGAGGATACAAATTGTTTATAAAAAAAGTAAGTTAAATATTCGGCAAAGAACTTTTACATTAAAAAAAGAGGACAACGAATTGATACATATTCATCTTCCACAGATTTAAATAGAAAAATGTTTTTATACATGGATTCAACTTAATAAAGTTCAACGAAAGCAGCTTTGGAGAGGGAAGTAAACTCTTTTCACCCTTACATCTCAAATCAAACCATAGATAAAAAAAATAAAATCATAATTTGGTCTCAAAAAATCATTGATCAAATACATATGGAGTGTGAAATACCCATCCTTGATGAGAAGCACGACGACCCATGCATTAGTAGGGGCTTGAGAAATCTCGCGGACGAAATCGGATCCTGTTATTAAAAGCACTGTTCCGAACCGGGCAACCCTAGTCACCGTCTGCATGTCTAGCAGCCTCTGCTTTCTGAGCCATTACAATGGTATTCAATTAATAGAAAAGGGAAAGATAAACTTGGAGACATAGGAAAGGAACAAAAGTTCACAGCTGTACTCTTCTAGGAAGCGATTGTCATCGATATCAGAGTCATCTTCCAAACCCTCAAACTCCTCAACAGTGGGCTCTTCAATTCATTTCTTAGATTTTTGGCGGATGTCGGGATCTTTTGAAGGTGTGAAAGGCATTGGCTTGAAGATTTTTGGCTTTGTCGTGAGTTTTCTGAGCCGACGTTGGATGGCATCCATTCAGTACTCGAGCCAGAGCATAGTAACTAGTGGTCAGAGGGAGGAGAAAGAGGCGAGGGGTCGGGAAGGAAGAAAAATGGAGCACGTAACTCTGAAAGGTAAGAATGTGGGCCGCAGGGTCAAGCCCGCGGCCGTGTAAATAATAAAACGCGAACTACGTTTGTGGATAAGCAGGCGAAACACATGTAATAGATGCCTCAACCACGTTTTAAAAAACGCAAACGCACCAATAAGCCACCCCAAATGGGCTCTAAATCTTTAGACAAAATGCTGGGAAACAAACAAAAGTATAAATTGATTCTCTGGTCTTTAGTGGGTTGTTTTTCTGGTTGAATTTTGTTTTCTAATGCATGGAATGAGTAACAGTATAATCATAGAGTACTTTTGACTTTAAAATTAATACTTATTTATCAAAAATACATTTATAACCATTTTTGTTCTCTATTTTCTGATTTCTGTATTGGAAGAACTTGAAATAAGTGCATTACATAATAGAGATCTTTTATTAACACAATACTTCAATTCAAATTTAAGTGCCGAAAATATTATCATCAGCTACCCATTATTGGATGTCATCTATGTGTTTCTCAAAATGTAATTGATGTTTTATACAAGATAGATTTCTCTTAGATAAGTCAGCACGTGAGGTAGGTCCCAGTTCAGATGTCGTCTTTACTGATGATGCTAGCTTTCAAGTTTTCTGTGAGAGCATCTCAAGAAGCTTGTTGTGCAGTCTTGAACCATTTTTCCTTCCTCTCTATCATACCTTTTCCAGGCTTCAGTTAAGTGTTAGCTTACATATTCTGCCTCACTCATATTTTATTTTTTTTTATTTTTTATTTAAACTATTCCTTTTTTACATCGAATCAATAAGCTTTATATATATATTTTTCTTAAAGAGAGGATATATATATATATATATATATATATATATATTTATATATATCCATAAAATGAGAATAAATCATTCTATTGGCGTTTTTTTTTTTTTGAGAGAATTTGGATATATGAGAGTAAATCATTCTATTGGCGTTTTTTTTTTGTTGAGAGAATTTGGATATGGATATATCGGGAATGAAATTTATTGGGGGTAGATTTTTTGTCATTAAATGTTTTTTGAGTTGAATAGAATATTACTGATCAGCCAAGTTTTTTTTGCACTCATTTTGAAGGAAGGTAGAAAGTTCATTTTAATCAAAATTTATTCTCTATTTCGGTTGGGCCAATTCTAAAATTTTCAGTTTTTTTAATCTCATTGGTTTTGAATCTTCTTTGATTATTGTGATAAATGATCAATGTGCAATTATCTATTTTGATCATATTATGTTATATGTATAATGTGTGATTATTGTTCTATTTGGGACAATTTTCTATCTGCTTCGCATTTCAGATCTTCACCACAACTCTGTTTGGAGTACTGTTTTCTTGTTGCTTTCTAAAAAATTTCTGTGACACGAAACAACTTTTTTCAATTTGATCTATTATAGTGCGTTGGTTATGAGAAAGTTGTTGCCTGATATTTTGAAAACTAATATATATATTTATATGCTCACCACAGTTTTCTATGTTGTTTTTTCTTGCATAATTTTGCAACCATCTTTTTAAAAAGCAGTCACCCCAAACAAACCATCTGATGGGTTTATAACTTGAGGTTTTTTTTAATGTTAGTTTAATCATATATTCTTTTAATAGGGGTTGAAATAAATTTTTGTGAGGATTAATTTATCCCATATTAAAAGAGCGGCGGGAACAATTAAAATGTCTCATTCAAACAATCAGGGTATTATTTTGTTATCGTAGAAAAAGATAATCATATTGGATTGAGCCACCTAGGCTTCAAAATAAGCCCTCAAAATAATTAAATTTGTTGGTAGCTTTGGGTGAAAGTGATTTTACATTGGTAGATATATATGTGGCCTGTTACTTTACACTGTAGATAGTCAGGGGATCATTTTGAGACTTTAATGAAAATTGCATTCAATATTTGAAAATTTGTGTTCTGCATTGGCAGATTGGAACTGACATTGAAGATTTTTAGTGCTCTTGACTTATTGTGCAAACGCTTTAAATAGCAGATGAAAATCAACTGAAATTTTTGGAGGCAAGTTTATTGCTTGTAATTCACTGTTGTCTGATTAAATACAGACTTGAATGGTTTAGTTGTTTCTCCAGGAGAATTATGGGAGTCCAGATCCAGCTTGTGTTGCGAAAGCTAAATCCCTTTACAGTGATCTCAATCTCTAGGTTTGCTTCATAACACTGCTGTAATTTGGATTTACCCCATAGGAACTTATACAAGTGCACCAATATTTGCAGAACTTCATATATCATCACTAGGGGTGTAAACGAGCAGAGCTTGAGCGAGCCCAGCTTCGGCTTGTTTAAAAATACAAATGTTCGTGTTCGACTCGTTGGGGGTAGCGAGTCGAACATGAGCTGTTGAGAACAAGGAACCGTTTTGACAGTCCTAGTCCTACAACCATGGGATATTAAGAGGGGTTGCGATTTAAATCTTATTATTTATATTAAAATATTCATTTAAATAGAATTTAATATTATTTTATTTTTTTAATTAATAATTTTAATTGATCATAAATCTTTGTAGCCTTGTAGTGAATTAGATTATTTTTAAATAATACAACAATTATATATCTTTATATATTTACAAACACACACACACACACACACACACAGATATATATATATATATATATATATATATATGTATATATATATATATGTATATATATATATATGTCTATATGTATGATGTAATTATTTGGAGTTAAAATGAGTTGAACATGGACAAACAAATTTTTGTTTGTGTTTGACTCGTTTATATGTGTGAGGCACAAAAAAAATCTATGTTCAGCTTATTTGCTGAGCAAACGAATTGAACACGAACTTCTTTACGAGCCGAACGCGAGCTCTTCGCGAGCAACGAGCCGTTTTTATGGCTCTTATCACCACAACTTCATTTTAGTGATTCATCAGTTATTTTGTTTGATTTTCGCAGATTAAGTGTGCTCATGCAATACATTGCCTGATTTTTCTCTCTTTTGTGTTTGCTTTTTCTTCATCTCAGGCAAAATTTTCTGAGTACGAGCGAACAAGCTACGGGCAGCTAAACTCCTCCATAGAAGCTCAGCCAATCAAACAAGTTCAGGAGGTACTTAAGTCTTTCCTGCATAAGTTCTACTATAAAAGACAGAAGTAGAGTTTCTGCATGCCTCCATGTTAAGGATAGTAATTTTATAGCCACGCAAGAACATTTCACTTTATTCTTTCTTGTGTTTTATTTGTACCAATATGCTATTTTATACTGTTTGATTTTTGGACAAAACCTGCTTTATTTATTTGATTTTCTTCCAATTGAATTTTCAGTTCAGAGTTGGTTTGTTTTTCTTTTCATAAATTTAATGAATTTTCTTTCTAACATTGGTTTCAGGTTGTATCTGAAAAAAAAATAGTTATGATGGCTATAAAATCCTTATATATATTTTGACATGAATGCATTATATGTATATGTAATCAATTAAGGTTTGGCGCAATTAAGTACAGACCATCAAAAACATGCTATTTACAAATGAACCATCCTCTTTCATCCATTTTTCATATTCTCACTCAAATTTCAAAATTTTAAATTCTCAATCTGTAAATACGTCGGTTTGGCAGTTCGAAAAAAAACATCAGTTGGTGGTCAATTTGTAAAAATCAATGTTTCAGGTGGTCTCCATGTAAAGAGAAGTTATTTATTATGATATCTGATATTAATCATGTAAATCATACCTAATTTATTTTTTATTCATCAATAATAAATATGTTTATCATAATTTTGAAGATTATAATAATTTAAAAAGATATTTATGTAAAGTTTTGATAAAATATAAAAATATTTTCGACTTACTCTTCTTAATGGAAAGCATAAAAAAATCTAAAAATGTTTATACATGAAAATATAGCTGTATTTTACTGGCAGAGATAATTTTATCATCTGATTAAACCAATAACGTCACTCACTTGCTATAAAATCACTCACTGGTAGAGATATATATGTGGCCGTTTACTTAAAAAGTTTTATTAATCAATTTGGACTTGAAAATTGACTTTTTAATTGTATGCGTAACTAAATTATTTGACTTTTTAATTGTATGCTATTTTACTGGCAGAGATAATTTTATCATCTGATTAAACCAATAACGTCACTCACTTGCTAGAAAATCACTCACTGGTAGAGATATATATGTGGCCGTTTACTTAAAAAGTTTTATTAATCAATTTGGACTTGAAAATTGCCGTTATTTCTTATTATTATTTGACTTTTTAATTGTATGTTTTTAATTGTATGCGTAACTAAATTATTTTGTAAGTATATTTTATTGTTTTTGATCGAAGCTTTAGAGCTGATTAAATTGTGTTATAATTTGAGCATTCAGGTGGCTGGGAAAAGTATTGCATATCTGTACTACCAATGTGGAATGAGAGAGATCAAAAAATTTAAGCGAAAAAATTGAGGATTTCATCCAGGTAATTGAAATATATCAAAATTGCAAAAATATACCCATACCATATTAACAGATTCAACTAGAAGCTACCATGCAATGATTTTATTCTTAAAATTGTCAAGTCCCAATGCAACATTTGAATATTGTCATTAGTGCTGCTAACTATCCATTCGTATTGGATAAATTTAGTTCGGCTCATCATTCGTCATGTTCAATTTTGATTGGGGTTGAAATTGGAATGAACTGGCTCAAATTTACATATTTGGTTCAATTTTAGATTGGAATCTGCCTGATTCTTGATAGAACCCAAGTCATATTTTTTATTTTTATTAAATTCTCAATGATTTGATCTAATTGCATTGGTTCGGTAATTCAAAATATCACCTGGGTGCCTGATTTGTAAATAACAATGCTTAGGGTACTTTTTATGTAATCATCCCATTTTTTTCATTCTAATGACTGACTTAGAATATATATATATATATATATCACCTGGAATGCCCTCATGATATCATGACTGCTTTGGATATTGTCCTCAGGGAGCCTACCTCCAAAAAGTATTGAAACAATTCAAGCTATTTTTATGTTTCTTGTGATGCATTTTATAAAATAATTAAATTGTCTGGTTTTCTTCTTACAATTATGTTACAATTTCAAGATCATTTTTTTCTCTTGAATTTGGGTCGAATGATATTGGCGAGGTTTACAATGTTGGAGGGGTTTTTTCCAAAGTCTTAGGCCAACCCAAATGGGTTTGTCCTTGAATGTTGGTAATGATTATTATTTTTTTCTGTTTAGGATTCATTTAAACTCTTCTAAATGCTTGGTTTGTCTGAAAGGCGCTAAATTCATTTTGTCTGATATGTGTGACATCTGCTTTGAATTTGTAGATATTCTGCAACATCTTTTTAAAGGCCAGTAAATCTTTTAAACTTTATGTCAGACTTTTTTACTGTAAGATCGTTTCCTACAAGTTTATCTGAAAAGCAACGTCTTCAGATATTTGCTTTTGTTTTGATTTGAGCTTTTGTTTTCATTTGAGACATTCTTCTTTCATATTTGAGTCATATGCTCTCATTTTTTTTATCCAAATTGCACATGTTTTTTCTCTTGTTGCTAATATCAAATCATATGTGAATGATGTTCCTGTGCAAAATATTTTGGCTTTATCTTAGTTATTTACTTTAGGTCAGATGTATGACTTCTTTGAAACTTTCAGATACAAAAGACGTTGAAAGAAGTCTATAATGAAACAACTCATTTACTATGTGTGTAGACGCTATAAAAGCACTGGGATTACATCACAGTTTGCTAACGAGTTAATGTATGTTGTTTTTTTTTATGTTCTTTTATTGTATTTTGGCTCCTACAAAAATGTTACAAAATTTTCATCCTATTGAGCTCTCTCTAATCAATAGTTTTCTTCAACAGGTTTCATTTTGATGAACCAGAGAAAACTGAAATATCTATTGCACGTTACTTCAGAACAAAATACAATTATAATCTTATGTATGATTCACTGACTTGCGTTAAAGCCGACAGTGATAGCAATCCGATATACTTGCCAATTGAGGTTTTTCTAGTCAACAATATTAATAGTTTTCTTTATTCAAATGCATTGCTTTTAAGCTTAATCAATTTGTTGTTCAGCTTTGACCCTGCAGCTCTCATTTTTAATAGGTATGCAAAATTGTGGATGGACAAAAATATGTTAAGAAGTTAAATGCTAGACAAATAAATGAAATATTAAATTAAAATTGTAAACGTCCGGCTATTTGGGAGAAGAACATTTTGGAGGTTACATCTTGTGATTTTAAATTTGCTCTAGAACTTTTATTTTGTCATTGCATTTTAGTTTATTGGGTGGGTTACTTCATTGATCCTACAATTTGTTATGGTGAAACCTTGATTGTTTTCGCTGCTGGTCAAGCAAAATAATTATAACAATGATATGTTTGCAAAAATCTTTGGTATTGGGGTTCAACCGAATCTTACTGCAGTAGAAGCAGGAGTGCTAAGTTCTCCAAAAATTAGTTGTTACTCGGTCATTATTTTTATTTTTTCCTAATTAGTTCAATTAGTTGATAGGAGTGTTGTTACTCGGTCATTATTTTTATTTTTTCCTAATCAGTTCAATTAAAATTTTAGAAGCATGGTAGTTGATAGGAGTATCTCGGATTATAGTAATTATATTAATCAATCTGTGGTGCAGCTTCTCAACATATTTTGATTTTTAAGTATGGTAGTTGATAGGAGTATCTGTCATCCCAATGAGTTCAACTTCTATCTTTGCAATCATACCAGTATCCAGGTAGACAAATTTTTATTGCGTAGAAACTCAAAATTGTAGCTGAACGGAGTATTTGACTAGAATTCTCTTACCTCATAAGCATATTTTTACTAAAAAAATTAACAAATACTTGTAGGGTACACGTCGCCATTTTCATGATCATGATTTCTACGATCAAAACGATTTTTTTTGTTGATCAGCTGCAGTTACTAACCAATAACTCATGCTACACGTAAGTTTATAATATATTGGGAAGATTTACATAAATACTCAACTCAATTTCTATAAAATTACATCTCTAACACCAAAGTTTTAATTTTTAACTACATACTTACCTGTACATAAAAAAAATTATATTGCAATTTTAAAAATGTGAATGGTTTTGGGTGTTGTACATGTAAATAATTACATGAGAATTTTGTGTTATGCATTTAAATATCTCCATAGTGAGTAACATGTTTTATAGAATTACTAAATGTATTAAGATATTGTTTGTACAGGTATGGTCGATGCACGCGTTCGATATCTGTAGGTAATTGTCATCGACTATGTGAGCTTCCTTGCATTTGATTTTTTGTAAATTTTAATAGGTTTTTATGTTTTTTTGTAGTTAATGCTATATATTATGCGCACCGTGCAACATTCCGATCTTGATATTACTTGGAATCAAGGTCTGAATCTGTATCAATTCAAGGCAGTGGACCAACACAAGCGAACAACGATCATCTCTGTTATTCCAGCTATTAAGGAGAATGTCAGAGGAGTAATGTTTTACTGTTAAATTATTTGCAGCCCAAAATATTATAGCAGTGGGAAACAACAAACTCATTCTATCAAAAATAATTTTCTAGTTTTTTTTTGCATGACAAACTCTGAATGATTTTGTTGGTTTATTTGTTGAATTCATGACTGGTCATTCAATATTTTTTTTTTGTTTTACTGATTTTAACTTTAAATTAGAGCTTTTTTAAATTTTGCTTTTAAACAAACCTTCATAGCTGTCGAACGAGATCATTTGCTAGGGGTTTTACACCCAGTTAATTGCTTTCGTCTCATTGGTCTATGTGTCTAAGCGTAAGTTTTGTTGCTTCTCATGTTTATTCCGGCCAGATCATTTGATTTTTATCTATTATTGACTTTTTATGTTATTTTTTTGTTATCCATATTCAGTTGTTCAGTTTTCTTTTTTTCTAAAATAGTGTTATGATCAAAATGAGGTAATAAATATATTGAATTACTACAAAATTAAATGTTGCTTATGATATGAAAAATCACTTTGATTTTGACAAATTGTCCTCACATATAAGATTGAGATATTTTCAGCACTATAACAATTTCTTTCTACATATAGATAGACGTAATAATTAAATTATACATAATAACCGTTCTTGCTGTTCATGCTCATTTGAGCCAGAAATTTTATTTAGTATATATGTATAGTGACAAGAACAATAGTGTAACTTAATTATTATGTTTATTTTTATGTAGAAAAATGGGGTTATAGTGCTGAAAATATCTCATAATCTTATTTGTAAGAACAATTTTTCAAAAACCAAAGGATTATCAATGTCATAAGTGAAATTTTATTTTGTAGTAGTTCAATATATTTATTTTCTCATTTTGATGAAAACAAAATTTTTTAGAAGTCGAGAAAACTGAAGAACTAGATATAGATGTCAAAAAAACAATCATAAAAAACCTGTAATAGATGAAAAACAAATGATCGAATGAACATAAGTAGCAACGAAACTTACGCTTAGACGCATAGGCTAATGAGCAGAAAACAATTGACTGAGTGTAAAACCCTGAGCACAATGGTCTTGTTTGATGGTTAAGATGGCTTGTTTAAAAGAAAAATTCAGAAAAACTCTAATTTAAATTTAAGATCGGTAAAACAAAAGAAAAAATATTGAAATTCGAATGAACATAAGTAGCAACGAAACTTACGCTTAGACGCATAGGCTAATGAGCAGAAAATAATTGACTGAGTGTAAAACTCTGAGCACAATCAGACTGAATTCAACAAATAAACCAACAATACCATTCACAACTTATGCAATTAAAAACTAAAAAATTATTTCAGCAGAATGGGTTTGTTATCCATGTCGTCTGCTTAACAGCTGGAAGAGTAGAGATGGTCGCTACTCGCTCGCGTGTTGTTCCACCGACTTGAGCTGATCCAGATTCAAACCCTACTATAAAATATCGGGCTCTGAAAGCTGCAAGGTGGGCATAATAGACAGCAGGAACTGCAAAACAACATAAAAACCTATTAAAAATTACAAAAAAATCAAATGTAGGTAAACACATATAATCGATGACAATTACCTACAAATATCGAATGCGTGCATCGATCATAGTTATATAAACAATATGTTAATATTTGTAATTCAGTATACAAAACATGTTACTTACTAGGGCGACTTTTTAATACATAACTCAAAATTCTCATGTAAATTATTTCCAAGTATAACACCTAAAACATTTTAACTTTTAAAATTACATTATAATTTTTTTATGTGCAGTTTGGTATGTAGTTAAAAATTAAAGTCTTGGTGTTAGATATATAATTTCATAGAAATTAAGTATAGTGTTTACGTGTAACATAAGTTATTGGTTAACGACTGCAGCTGATCAGCAGAAAAACCATTTTAATATTAGAAAATATGATATTAAACAGAATGACTTGTGCCCTACAGGTATTTGTCAGTTTTTCTAGTAAAAATTTGCTTGTGAGGTAAGTGAATTCTAGCCAAATACTCCGGCCAGCTATAATTTTGAGTTTTTATGTAGTAGAAATTTATATACCCGAATACCGACATTACTGTAAAGGTAGGAGTCGAACTCAGTGGGATGACAAATGCTTCTATCAACTACCGTACCTAAGAATCAAAATATGTTGAGAAGATGCAACCTAAATTAATTACTTGATCCATCAAATTGGACATTGTCTGGCAATATTTTCTCGTTGTTATTATTCATATTCATATTCTTAGGAAATAAATGCGTATGGTGCCTCTTCCGTACCACTATAAATCTAACTCGTGGAAGATAGTCTTCTTCTATTGAGTCACATGCCTATTATAATTATCATTTGTTAGAATCAGTTATTCAAAATAATATAAGAAAGTAATATAATTTTTTTTAAGAGAATCATTATAATCATAGTAAAATAAAACCAACTTTCCCAATAGATTCCATTTCCAACAAAAACAGTGTGTTAAATTGGGCATCACGAACACCATTCCTGCATTTAACAATCAAATCTTCTCAGGTTAACTAATGATGCGTCTTTAAGTGTAGTAATGAGTTTAAAATACCTTAATATACCAAATGTATAGAATATAATGCGTTCCGATTTTTGATTTGTCTCCTTATGGAACACTCAAAGCAGATTCATTTTGATATATAAAGTTAGAATTTGAAATTTCAGGCTATCTAGTCAAGGTTTATTGTACTTAACATTATCATTCTCCAGGCGGAGTTACCCATCTTCGGATTTGGAGTAGTTTCGAAAAGATCCTCTATCATTACGTGTCTACGTGGCCGTGCAGAAAAAAAAAACATTGTACTTCGTTAGACATGTTTAATTCATAGATGCAACCTCCAGGAAGAAGATAACAGTTAAAGCAAAATTATCGGTAAAAATCAAATAATAGAAAACCACCAACATAATCAGAGACGAGAGAAACAAACTGCAGCAATGTAGGGTAAAAAGTCTTCTCTTTGGGCTGAATGGGTCACATCAGCTCCAAATATAATAGTAGGCACAGATGATATCAAAGAAATTTGGTTTTTGATGAAGTCTTCAAGAATAATATTACAGTCACCAATCTATTGCATTAAAGAGAATGTTCAAAAACAATAGAAATAACATGTCTGCAGAAGATAACCGAAACAATTACAAACATTTACATTAATTTTCAAGGCTCAATTTTCAAAGTATTGTTTATTTGGCTTAACTTGTAGGTGCTTTGGCTGGCAGCACTGATTAATAAGACCATGCTTAGTATCACATTTTTTTTATCGTACCTATTAAGCCAAGACCAAAACATAGACAACTAAATAAAATTTAGGAATTAAAAGTGAAAACATTAGAAAACAAACAAGCTATAAATTGAAAAAATATTATATGAACCCTTAATTTCTGGTAGAACAATAATTAGCAATTGAAGTTGTCAATGCTTTGAGTTTAGCTGCTTAAAGGCTTCAATAGACTGACTGTGAAATTCTCTCAAACAATTTTCTATTTGTGATAATGAACGTGAAATGTTTACAACGTTTTTATTAAAAACCTATATTTAAATGACAATGAGTAGCTCATGAAAGGCGGAGTATCATCACAATTCAAGGTAAAACGAATTAAAAGTAAAAACTATTGTGATGATGTTGCACATGAAAACTAGATCATGTCAGAAATCTCGAATGATATTCATACTATGAAAACAAAAGCTTATGCATGCCACAACATCAACAGTACCGCCTTTATACACTTTATATATAATATTTATATGACAATATATTATACATATTTATATCTAATTGTAAAACACTGCATCTTATGTGTTGAAGCGGTTTTGTGCCTCTTATTATATATGAATGGTGCAGCTTGAGTGCAACACTGTATATTTTATTTTAATTGATTTAAACGAGTCAATTTCGGGTCGAACATGAAGAAGAATATATAAATTGAGCAAACACAAGCACGTTCACTAGCAATTTCAAACACAATCAAATTTTGAACTAAATTACTTCAAAAAGAGTCAGTGTTCACATCAAATGCTTAAATTTTTATAAGATAAAACTGAATGTTTCTAGTTGAAGAACATCGATACATAAAACTACGATGTAAAATAAGAAAGTAAAAGAAAAAAATTTAAAAACAATGAAACAAATTAAATTATCTTAATGATTATGCTCAGACATAACTTTATTTTTTTACCTCCAACTCTCAATTCTTGAAACATTTTTTAATTGCAAGTTTTTTTTTCTAGCTTCGTTATCATCTTAAAAGCTTGAGATAGATGGATAGATATGATGAATATGATTCTTTGATTTGCTCTGTATCTTATATAGTAAGACCGATTTGCTCTGTATCTTATATGATGTCATATTGGGAGGACCACATCTTAAAAGTTTGGTTTATTTGTAATAATTGCCTAGCATTCTAATTGTGTGAAGTTCATTTAAAAAATATTCAAGGTACACGCATTATACACATATGCACAATTTTTGTTATTTAAAAAAATAAAGACAAGTAAAAAAGTCGCATGAATTCATGCATTAACAATAATTATTACATTTTTAACATGAAGTTTATCTTGCTTCTTTTAAAATTTGTGTATGATTACAAACATTCTAATTGTACGAATTTCATTTTAAATATGTTCCGCACATACATATTGTACACATATGTATAATTTTTTGTTAATTTTAAAAAGAGAAGTAAAAAGTTACACCACTTCACACGTTAACAACAATTATCATATTTTTATCATGAGTTTTCTCTATGATTCTTTGAAATTTCAACATTTGTTCTACAAGTTTACGTGCTTTGTCTTCCAAAAATTTTTTTGTTGTTGTTGAAATATTTTGCTTGTTTCAGCATGAATCTCACTAGTGAAAATTTTATCATTTGCAAAAACATGCACTAAGGCACGGTATTTTAAAATATCTATGTCAAGCATTTCCATAATTAAGATAAAGAGATGCAAACTCATTGTTATTATTAAATGTTATTTAATTATAATTGGAAAATCTTTTGTCTATTCACGACTATTAATACCATCCATTGCTCACTAAATATTTTTTTAATTTCATTATGCTTTTGAAACACACGTTTAGACTTAATGTGCACCAAATAATTCTTAGGGTACGTGATTATGTCTTTTCGAGGTAAATAAAAGTCATATAATTTTTCTTTTTTTTGTATATGCTTTTCTCTTAATTGTGCCATCAAAAAAAATTTTCTTTGATTTTACTGCATTATTAATCACCATTTTTTTTGGTAATTAAATTAGTAAATTTAGAGGTTCTATTGATTTATAAAATCAATTTTTCTTTTATGGAAATTTGGAGCAGGGAGCGTGACCACTTTCAGATTCTGACAGAACTGGTTCAGCTGGTAATCCGTTGAGAAAAAAGAACTATATGAATCTATCAATTAATTTTATGCACAGAATCATATTTATATACCATATGAAATTTTAAACATTTTAGGAAGTACAAACGGAAGTCGACCCATTTGGGGCATTTCGTCCATTTTTGGTGTTAGTGAGAAATGTGCATCAACAAAATAAATCTCGTCCAATAAGTCTGTTATTGTTCCTTCTCACAATGTGGAAAGTTCACTCTTTATGATCCATCTAAGAGAGGTTAGTGTTCTATTTATTAAACTCAATGTCTATTAAACTCAATGTTCGCTCAAGTTTGGCAATTAGATTACTTTCTTACATCTTCTAAACTTTGGTTTTCTACAATATAGCCTCCAGTCATCTTGAAGCCTTCAGAAAATCAATTGGAGCAGGTGGCTTTGGAGGTTTCCATTACAAAATTATTACTGAAATCGTACTACGATATTGTCAGGAAAAACATTGAAGATATTTTGCCTAAGGCAATTATGCACTTCCTGGTAATTTATTTTACATTTTGATCATACAGAATAAGAATATTCTGTCCTCTTGTCTGATAACTTATATTAATGATTGTTATAATTTCATTTATTGTTATTTTTGCTGCTTTGTGCTATGAGAATTAATTGCGATATATATTTTGATCTACTGCTTTCCAAGATGAAATTTGCATATTGGAAGTGTTTCACAATTATAGGCTGGCTGGAGCATGTATATTTGTAATTGGTCTAGCTGATGTTTCTCCTAGTTTGATATTCTTCAAACTTTCCTGTCATTTTTTTTGGAAGATTTACATGCATTCCACTAAATTCTTTTTTACTTAACACCTCAATTTCTTAAGAATTTGGTGGTATGCGTGTAAATGCCCCTTTTCGATTTATTGTTTGTGGATTGATTTGGTACTAACTAAGGCACGTAATATTAACAGGAAAGTCGTCGTACCTTTTATTTATTTCTTTGGGTGAATCCCATAGCTTACTCTTGTGCTACTGTTTAATGAAAGTGGCTCGACAGAAAAGCTGTATATAAAACTGACTGTTTTTTTCTTTAGTTTGGGTGTTATTCACCTTGTCAATGTGTGAGTTGATGTTGTTTGAAGAGTTGTCAAAAGCGCATAAACTAACCTTCAAAACATTGCTTTGAAGAGCAAACCTCTCTTCTTTTTAATGGTTCCTTATATTAATTTTCAAATAAATTGTAATACAAGTTTAATTTTATGAATGTTTTGTTACTATCTTCAGTTTTTTTGATGTTGGTGGGTTATTTTTCATTAGTTTTATTTTAAAATTTTTATATATTTTATATATCATATTCTCTGCAAATTTTTTTTTTAATAACTAACAGTTTGTTCACTTGCTCAGGTGGATCATACAAAAGGAGAGTTACACAATATTTTTATCAGAAAACTTTACATGTAATTGCCAAAATAATTTTTAATTATTAGTTTAATAAATTCATTATTATATTTATCATGATTTTGTTCTTTAATTATAAAACTAATTCTATTTAAGTTAAGCTCATTAAACATCTGTTATTTTAAGTCAGAAATCTTTTCGATGACATGCTTCGACAACAGATGATATAGCTACCAAGAAAAAAAGATAAGAGAAACACTCAGGGTTTGTAGCAGGCCTACAAGGTAACACTTTCATCTGATTGTAATTTATCAAAAATCATTGCTTGAGTCTATTATTTTAACTATATGATCCAATATTACTAAAAAAATGAATCTTTTTTTTTAACTTAGATCGAGTTGAGTCATGAGCCAAAATTTTGGCTCAGTTGGATCTTTTGGTTGATTTTGAGCTAATCTATGATTGAATTGAACAGACTCAAAATCTGCTTAGGATATAAATACTGTGTATAATTATATTTATGCATCTATACACGCATATGTTTAGTCAAGGATTTGTTTTAGAAGAACAAAAATCAATTGAATTATTAATATATATTATTTAATATTATATTTTCTTGCTTTATTTTGATTCCAGACGCTCGAGGAACTGCCACTCGAGGCAGATAGTGTGGAAAAGGGTTAATCTCTTTATTCAGACTCAACTGCTTTGTCCTAAGTCCAAGACCTATTTTTTTCATTCTTCCCAGCATCAAACGATTACAATTCACCCTACATGACTTTGCCGAAGATCCAATGATCAAGGAGATCAACCCACTCTAGAGGATAGTTGTCTTTTTCGTACCTCGGTTTGATGTAAAGTGACCCGTTTCTTATCCTCTAGTGGATACTTAGGGCTTTCTTGAGGCAGCAAAAAAGCTTGTTCTATTCTTGGAGATGCCTCATATGGCAGATTTTTTGTGTCGCACCCATAATAAAATTAGAAGTTCCGAAAGTTATTTTTTAATATCATTTTATATGCAAGAAGTATGGCTAAGGGGTCCTTGTATATTACATTAAGTTCACATTGCTTTTTTTAAGTATTTTTACACGCAATGAAATTGTAAAATGAGGTACTAAAATATATGAACATCTGATGAAATTTTCATTGTCATCAAATGTTGAGTTTTGTTAGCTATCTAATGCCAAAATAATATATACTAAAAGGACTGCAATGTTTTGAAAGTTATCTATTGTGAACGAAGTTGCTATTCTCTTTTGTAAATCTGATAGCGATAGATTTAATATTAGATTTGTAGTCTATGCTCTGTAAGCTGGGAAAATTTGATTTTTTATTGCTTTTGAAAAATTACATATCTGAAATCATTATTAATACATAACTGCATTCAAATGAAATAACATTTTTATAATTTTTTATTTTATTTTTTGATTTATAATTTCCAATTTTTTTAGAATATTGATGCTTATCCTATATATGTTCACACACACACACACACACACACACACACACACATATGATATTATATTCATGTCGTTTATATCCCGTATAAGTACATTATAATTGAATTTCCATTTGAGCCTAAAGCCATAGATAGCCATACGACTTCTACTTGCGGTGGGCTACAAGAAATGTGCGGGGAAGAGGATCCAATCAAATGCTGAAATTGCTGTTCTCATCTCCCGACTCTCCTTCGTTGGGAGGAATGGTATATATCAAAAAATAAAATAAAATATTAAAAAAATCTTATTTCATTTGAGTGCAGTTAAATATTAATAGTGATTTCAATTATTATTTCATGCAAAATAAATATAAAAATGTTTATTTTTCATAAGCAATCAAAAATCAAATTTTCCCAGCTTACAGAGCATAGACTACAAATCCAATATAAAATTTATCACTTTACAAAAGAGAACTACAACTTTCTTCACAACAGAAAACTTTCAAAATATTGCAGTCCTTTTATTATATATTATTCTGGCATGAGATGATCAGTAAAACTCTCCATTTGGTGCAATGAAAATTTCAATGAATATTTATGCTCTATAGTATCTTATTTTATAATTCCATTACGTGTAAAAATACTAAAAAAAAATTAAGCATTGTGGACCTTATATAAATATACAAGGACCCCTTAGTTAACTTCTTGGCTTAAAAAATGACATAAAAAATATCATTCGGAACGTCCAATTTTAAAATATGCGTGACACAAAAAATCGGTCGTAGGAGCTCATCTCCAAGAACAGAACAAAGCTTATTTGCTGCTTCAGGAAAGCTCTCAAACATCCATTGCAGGACAAGAAATTGGTCCATTGGCGTCAGAGCCAGGGTACTGGGAAGACACCTGCTCTCCAAAGCAGGTTCATCTCCTCGATCTTTGGATCTTCGACTAAGCGGTGTAAGGTGAATTGTAATTGTTCGATGCCGAGTAGAACGAAGAAGATAAGCCCTGGACTTTGGGCAAGCCGGTTGAGTCCGAATCAAGAGAATAACCCATCTCCACAGTGTCCGCCTCAGGTTGCAATTCCTCGAGTGTTTGTGATTAAAACTAAGGAGAAAATATAATGTTAAACAATTTATATTAATGATTCAATTGATTTTGTTCTTCTAAAATAAATTATTGGCTCAACATATGTTCGAATAGATGCATAAATACAATTATACATAATATTTATATTTTAAGCAGATTCAAGCCGGTTCAATTTAATCAAAAGCTTAGCTCAAGATCAGCCAAAAGATCTGACTCAACCAAAAATTTGATCCAAAGTAAAAAAAAAGATTTATCTTTTAGCAATATTGGATTATATAGTTAAAAAATAGACAAAAACAATGATTTTTGGCAAATTGCCGTTAGATAGAAGTGTTACCTTGTAGGTCTGTTGTGAACCCTAATTGTTTCTTTTATCATTTTTCTCTTGGCAACTATATTATCTGATTCTCGAAACATGTCATCGAAAAGATTTGCTCTGGTTTAAAAGAACAAACTTTAAATGTGCTTAATTTAATTAGAATTAGTCTAAAATCATAAAAGCATAAAGAACAAAATCATGATGAATCGTAGAATAAATTTATTAAACTAGTAATTAAAGATTATTTTCACAATACCTATAAAGTTTTCTGATGAAAACATTATGTAGCTATCTTTTGTATGATTCACCTGAACAAGTGGACAAGTCGTTAGTTATTAGAAAAAAAAATTTGCAGAGAGCGAGATATATAAGGTATATAAAAAGTTCAAAATCAAACTGCTAAAAATAATTATTTGACATCACAAAAAAACTCAAGTTAGTTACACAACATTCATAGAAGTAAACTTGTATTACAAACTATATGAACATCAATGCAAGGATCCCATTAAAAAGAAGATAAAATGTAAGTATAAACAAAAACCATAAAGTGCATGAGCCACGAAAAGCAATTAGTGTTACTAAACATATTGGATTATTGGCTCAACATAAAGTGCATCACTCATAAAATGCATGAGTCATGGAAATATAATTAGTTGCCAAAGGACTAAAAACACAATTTTGATGAATTAGGCACAAAAGCAATTACAATCACGGAGAACATGTTTCTCTGACTAGAGAAAATGCTCGTTGCTGCATTGAAACTTCTGGCATGGGAAATCTGCAACAAAATCCCTTAAAACCCACTAGAGCCCACGAGAGAAACCTACCTATGAAGCACAATTTATGCAGAAATTTCCTTCTTATCGCTTTAAATTTCAAAAATGCATAAAAGAATAACTAAAAACACTGCTAATTTAGAATTATTTTGTTCCTTTTGTATTTTTATTGAAGGGGATATATATATATTCATATTAAGAATTTGAATACCAACATCTAAATTTTAATATTTAGATCCTTACATCTCATGAAATTATCCTCAATATTAATATTTTTATGAATTTGTTATGATATTACACTAAAACATTTTTAAAAAAAATCAGACATAGGTATTATACATTTAAATACAAAATCATAAATTTTATTTATACATTAATTTCATTATTAATAATATTTAAAAATAAAATGCATATATAAAAATAAATAGTCGAGATGGCGGACAAGGCATCCTTATGGCTTGATGATCCTATAGGTACTCTCTTTGAGCTTTCTCATGTTGGTCTTAACCTCCCAAGTGTTGGA